GATCTGTCCCTGCAAGGTGCATTTTAAAGCCAGATGTCTAGGAAAGCTTCAGTGCCAGTTACACAACCGAAATCTTTTACTTCCTACAGAAGGAACATTTCATAATATTTATACTTGGCCTCACACTGTGATTGCAGATGTCTATTTAATGGGAGATTTGTCCTAGAACCTCAGTAATTGAGCAGATTATTTACTTTGATGTTGTCACTGTAAAATTTGTGGAAATTTGAGCACATTGTTTGCCATTAATATTCAAAAGAATACACAGGCTATGTGAAAGGATCCTCAGTTGATTCTTTTTAGCACTTTATCACAAACCGTCTTTACAATAAGTAATTAGATTCAAGTAGCCTATTGACCCATTAATGATATGCTGCTTTTAAAGTCTATCATCCACGTTGTGGTCTCATTGTGGTGCCAAATTTGGAACATTTCACTCTGGGAATGGAGGTTGGGTGGCATGTAAATTGTATCGATGGAAATACATCTGTTTGTTAAAGCAGTTTGTCATCCCAACACACATGAGCCTTAGGAGTCATGTACCTGTAAGCAAAGCAGCACACTTAGACTTTCACATATGGGGGCAAATGCTCTCGAATTACAAAGCGTCACTTTAAGAGGGACATCAGAGGACAGCAGCGTAGGGGTTCAAAACTGGAACTGTACTGTGGCATATGAAGTTGTTAAGAAGCATGTATACACAAATTGATTTTCATGCACATTCATACACATGCATTAATAACACTCATCCTAATGGGCATGCATCCACATTGTATACATGAAATGGACATAATAAGAAAAACAGCCCGCAAACAATCTAAACAGAGGGGTGAAGTGACAATGGTTCACAGCTCCGCTAGAGGGGTCCATAGACTAGTCCCTTTTGGATGCTGGCAGCAGCTTTTTTGCACATATCATCACATATTTTTATTTTCCAATATATTGAATTTTCATTTATAATAATGGCCAAATGATAGGGCTTATGGTGTGGCCCATTGACTGTGTAATAGGTAGTGTCCACATATTCTTCAGGCTTGACCTAGATTTAGGCCAGAGATGGACCTAATCTAAGGCTCGGATAATTTGGTCAATAAACAGGGCCCCATCTAGATAGAGACCAACACCAAACCTACTGGAAGGACAACAGGAGCATCAGAGGCTCATGGGATCTCCACTGGTGGAGCCACAGGGAAACAGCAAGAATGCCTTTCAGCAAAGCCAACTAATAGAGCTCCACAAAAAACTCTATGCTATTTAAGCCATTTTTTTCCATCAGACAGGTGGTTCCCAGTAACCAGTTATTATTAGTTCCCAGTAGCCTGAATATTTAGATATTGATTATTTCGATATTTTTCTTGGATGTTTCTATCAGTAAGGGTAAGAAAAGTAAATCAAACTTGATCTAATATCTGATAAAAAAAAACAGAACAACAAAAGTGTACACCAGTACACATCCAAAAGTGTTAGGTGAGAAACCCAAATTAAACTTTACTCTTAAATAAGCAGCTTCTCAGGGTAGTCTTCCCAGCTGGCTACCACATAAACATACGTGTACAAATATAGAGAAAAATGATACAGCTGCACAATCTGAAACAAAATATTAACATTGCATATTGTGATATTTCCGAAAAACACGGACTAATGACACTCTGCTTACTTACACTCACAAGATATGAGGTATATAATCGCCTTGAGGGTGCCAACCCTGATGAAGATGAGGTGCCAGAAGAACCTCCTTCCTACTATTGGAAGCTGACTCCAGGAACCTGTAGAAGTCAAGGGTTGTGTAGGCAAATCATTGATTGTAACAAAATACAATAAAAGTTTTTTTTTTGTTTTTTTTTTTAAATAGTAATGTAAACAGACTCAGTCCTTCACGTTTTGTTCTGTTTATGATAACTTCTTTAGGGGTGTAATCATTTAAAATATAAAAAACAATCAATACAATGCAGTTCGAACAAAATCAAACGTATCAAACGTGATATATCTATCTACCTAGATATAATTCCTTAATTATAAGAAATACAAACAAGATCAATATGTTATGTAGTGTAATGGTTTTCATGTAATATGATCAACATGAACAAATTATGTCATATGGATGTATAATGCCCTATCTATAGGCTTCCTATCCAGGCTGCATGGAGACATGATCAGTGTGAATGATTAAAACAAATACATATAGGTAAATATGAATGTGCTGTATAGATATCTACCACCATCTCCTGTCTCCAGGGCTTTCTTCATTGTAACCACTCTTTAGTTCAGTACCTACATTACACATGAAGTTGTTTGGATGTGCTTCCCATGGGTGCTACTCAGTGTTGTTAGATCCATCTGGAAATTAATGGCAGGTCAACCTGGAGTGCATTACTTGCCAATCAAGCAGGCTGCCCACTGAATTTTTGTTTCAGTGCTCTCTGAAAGGTTCTACTGCCTAAATGGAGTGCAAGCATGTCCAATGATGCACTCACACTACAGATTTAAGGGTCAGTTGCCTGGTGTCTCCAAAAACAGGACACAGGGAGCTATGGTGTCACTACAGGGGGTAGTTGCCTCCAAGATCATTGCTTGCCCTCCGGTGTGTCCCTTCACCTAAAGCACCACTGTTTGAGGAGGGAACCGCTAAACTCTGAACTCTGAAACTGAAAATAGAAAAGACAAAAAAAATCACAGTGTGAAACACTTTTACAACCTCTTCAATCAGGGATCTGGTTCTGAGAATGACGACCCTTAATTACTAGGGCAATAATCCCCTATGACCTGAACTGTCAAATCAAGATTTGAGATACACCACAACCCTTGAAAGGTACTTGACTTCAGTTAAGGTTCACAGGCTTATAAAGTTACAGTTATGTAGTGCTTCAGAAACACTGCACATACATAATAATTTGCCCAGTGGGGGTAGATCCACATAGACAGGGGGCAGGTCCACCCAAATTCAGAGGGCTAGATACATTCTGTCAAGAATAAATAAGGAACACACTCCATAAAAAGTTACCAAATTGTATTAGATAAAGCTTTATCAAAATACTAACATACACATTTGCTTGCTTTAGACTAAATGGACAAAAAGAGATGATAAACTATACTAAAATTAAAACCATAACAAATACACAATGAACACAAAAAATTCAAAGAAAAAAAGCACATAGTAATAGATAAAAGATAATCATTGGAAGATAGTATTATTGGTATTTATATAACGCCAACATATTCCGTAGCACTTTACAAGAAAGGGGGATTTAACAATAACTGAGACAATTACAAAATGTCACAGGAACAAATGGTTGATGAGTACCCTGCTCAAATAAGCTTACAGTCTAGACGAGGTGGGATATAAAACACAACAGGACAGGGCATAACAATCAAAGAAGATGGGAGTGAGGCAGAGCTGGAGGAGAGTAGAGTGCTGCCCTTTATGAGAGAGCAAAGGATAGGTATGTGAGGTAGAAGTTACTCTGGGAGGCCATAAGTATTAATGAAGAGATGGGTTTTGAGGCATTTTGAGTGGAGACTAGGGGAGAGTCTGATTGTACTAGGAAGGCTATTACAAAGGAAAGGAGCCACCCGTGAGAAGTCCTTCAAATGTGAGTTAGCTGTATGGGTGTGAGCAGTGGACAGGAGAAGGTGTGTACCTGTGAATTAGTGAAGGGATATAACAGGGGCTATAGTTGTTAAGTGCTTTATAGGTATGAGTAAGTACTTTGAATTGACTTCTATTGGATACAGGAAGCCAATGTAAGGACCATCAGAGGGGTGAGGTGTGGGAGGAGCGACTGGAGAGGAAAATCAGTCTGGAAGCAGCATTCATTACAGACTGTAGCAGGGCAGTACATACAAGTGTTCAAAATCAATCTAAATACATACCAAAGAAAGACCAGATAACATAAGAAAACAGCGTGAGAGACAATGGATACCAGAAAAAAGGATAACTGAAAGCCCAACATTTTGACAAAAGTGCCTTTTTCCACAGGGCATGTACACACAGGGAATAATGTTGCTTTATATATACCCCTGAAATCAATGAAAAACCAATCACACCAACACCCACCCATTCAATCATTCCCACCCATCCAGGGACTGAAAATAAACAAAGCTTAAATTCACAATGATCAAGAGACATACATGTCACAGCTGCCTCACAGTATGATCCTGCATAGAAGCTGCTTGTGGAAAAAAAATGCATTCCAACATGCAACCCATAAGTTCCAGTGCTAGATCGGATGTGATGTCCAGCACTGCAGGTTGTTGGCAATGAATCTGTGCATGCGCACTAAATGTACAATATACCCCTTATTCTTGCATTTTGGTAAAATGGTTATTCCTAGTGCCATTTCGCTACAGAGAAATACATAGATCTAGGAGAGGACTCCATTAAGGCGGAAATGAAAAACTTTGTGTGGAAAACCGGGACATCAACTCTGATTTTGTTTTTCTAACGTTGATTCCTTGTATGCATATTATATTATTATTTGTTTATTGTCTGTTTTAAGGCCTTAATTATTCTTGTGATGTGTTCTTGGGTAAATCTAATTATTAACGTAATACTTCTAATAAAACTATGCATTTCATGTGGCTTGCTATATTTATTTGGTAGTGTTTTCTTGACCCCAACAAATCCCATACATTATCCGGGAAATCACACACAATCTGACTTATACTGCATGGCAGATTTGGTGTGTGTGATTTCCAGGCTATTATATATAATTTGCACCCCAAATATTTGCTAAATATTTCCTGCATTTTGCATGGAGCTCCCTGACACCCACACATCACGTATTATATCCCTAAAATCACACACACAATCTGACATACAATGTGTACCAGAATGTGTGTGTTGATTACCAGCATATTATACTTGATTTATGCCTCTCTTCCCTCATACTCGCTAAACAGGGTTCGGTGGGGTGCTGGCCCTTTAAGAGCCGACCATAGTATCAGCCAGCAGGGAGGAAGTAATGACAGCCTGGCACTTCCTCTCTGTTTCACAGAGAGCTGTACAGGAGTAATGGAGTCAGCAGAGGCACACAGCAGCATGGAGGCAGAAGAGAGGCTGGAGTGAGCTGTTACTGTATGCTCACTCCCATCAGCCTCAGCTTGGACCAGAGCATTTAGCAAGCCACCCTCCAGGACACAAAGGTAAGCTAACAGGAGTGTATGTGTATCTGAGTGTTTCTGTCAGTGTGTGTATCTGAGTGTATGAGTCAGTGTATGTATCTGTGTGTATCTGAGTGTGTGTATCTGTGTGTGTGTGTATGTGCCAGTATGTGTTTCTAATTGTATGTGTCAGTGTGTATCTGTGTGTGAGTATGTCTGTGTGTCAATGTATAAATCTGGATGTATGTGCCAGTGTGTGTATCTGAGTGTATGTGCCAGTGCGTGTTTCAATGTGTGTATCTGTGTGTCATTGTGTATCTGAGTGTGTATGTGCCAGTGCATGTATCTGTGTGGCAAGGTGTTTATTCATGTTTGTGGGCTGTGTGTGCATGTGTGGGGGGAAGTGGGTTGGCGCCATAGCTGGTGTAGCCACCTCCCTAAAATGAATTTTTGCAAGTTGGGATGTCTGCCTCTCTGAAGTCTGCAGAGTGGTCTCTTAACCTTTACCAGCTTTGCCTAAACATCAGTAGTAGCTCATAGGCGTGCGCACGGGGTGTGCCGGGTGTGCCTGGGCACACCCTAATCCCAGTGGCACCCTATGGTTTGAGTCCCGCAGGAACAGCGTTCCTGCACTTGTTTTGAGCAGGAACTCTGTTCCTGCAGGCACTCAGCGCCCCCTGTTTCACCTCTTGCCCCTGTCATGGGGGGGCAAGAGGTGATGGATCCCCCCCTCTCTGAAGCTCAGCCGCGGCGAGGGAGCTGTGTGCTGTCTGATCTCTGCTCCCTCTCGCCGCGCGCTGATGCCGGGAGCCGGAATATGACGTCATATTCAGGCTCCCAGCTACAGCAGACAGCCCGCGCGGCGAGAGGGAGCAGAGATCAGACAGCTCCTCTCCAGGTAGGAGGTTGGGTGGACATTTTTTTAAATGAAAATGTAATAATTGTGTTCTTGTGTGTGTGTCTGTGTGTGTGTGTCTGTGTGCGAGTGTCTGTGTGCGAGTGTCTGTGTGTGTGTGTGTCTGTGAATGTATGTGTGTCTGTGAATGTGTGTGTGTGTGTCTGTGAGTGTATGTATGTATGTGTGTGTGTGTCAGTGAGTGAATGTGTGTGTCTCTGTGAGTGTGTGTCTGTGAATGTGTGTGTTTGTGTGTCTGGGTGTCTGTGTGTGTGTCTGTGAGTGTCTGAGTGTGTCTGTGTGAGTGTGTGTCTGTGAACGTGTGTGTGTGTGTGTCTGTGAGTGTATGTATGTATGTATGTGTGTGTGTGTGAGTCAGTGGCGGATCCAGAGCCTGATCTCGGGAGGGGCACTTGTAGATTATTTAATTAAATAATCCAGGCACAATAACCACTACAGCTCAGTGTAGTAGTTATGGTGTCAGTAGTGCCAGAATTCCACCCCAGAGTAAGTAGTCATACCGTTTAAGAACAGTTTGACAACTTACCTGGGGTCTGCTGGGATATAGGGTATAGTAGCAGTGGTGTGTGTTAAGGGTGAAGAGTTCACTCTCACGAGAGGAGGACCCGGAGGAGCTGCAGACTGAGCTCCGGGTCCTCTCTCTCATTCCCTCCCTCCGCCGCCGGCTGTCAGCACGGTGCCTGCGGATCGGGGAGGGAGATCTGTGATCTTCCTCCCCGGTCCGCAGGCACATTGCAGGGCTCACAAATACACGAGACACAGAATCATGGAAATACACTATTACAACTAGATTTGTTTAACCCCTTAAGGACACATGACACGTGTGACATGTCATGATTCCCTTTTATTCCAGATGTTTGGTACTTAAGGGGTTAATGACTATCCTAGTCTGTTCAATAAAGACTCAATTAAAATCTTCCAGGTGTCCATTCTATAATTCCCTGTCACTGAATCTCTTTTAACAATAACAAATTCATATCCAGGTAATCTAGATCTACAAATAATGCAGTGTGCATTGATTGATCATCCAACGAATTTACTATGATCACATTTGATACTATGATCTGCCGAATAAAATCTACTTATAGCATTGCATGCAGGTATACACTGTCCCAGATCTTTTCAAATTCACCACTTTATCACTTTTAATCTAAACACATGTTTTGTGTGCTATGATTTATTAAACGATGTACAGACTTCTTTAGGAAGATGGTTGTTGTACTATATACTTATATGAATATTAATAGACTATAAGCTTCTGTCAAGGCAAATATTGATTGTTCTGTGTCACAAAAGAGGTATGCTTCCTTTCCCCAGCATGGTGGATGTAGGAGCATGTTTTAGAAAATGATGTGAAGACAGAACAGATTTGGACAGACCTTCTTAATGAGCACTTAAAGAACTTGCTGCAAGCAGCTTGTGCAAAACATTAAACAGAGGAGTCAATTAATGTTGAAATGTTTTAGCAACAAACTTTTGCATGAAGCAAAAGTGGCCCTTCCCATGAACATAGGTCTCTTCTAACAGGGTAATTCACTGAATTCCAGATTGCTGATACCGAATTGGGCAATATCATACTGGGCCTTTCGACATGCAAAATCACAATATTGTTCACACTATTTAACTGTATCAAGATTTTGCAAAAAGAGCCTGATATGGTCTGAATTTCAGCCAGACTGAGTCTAGCGCTTTAAGTCCGGTCCTGAATTGTAAAAATCTTGGCCCTGATGCTTAAAAATTTTGCCAGGATTTTTAAAAAGCTGAACTATTTGCATAAACAGCTGCACATTAAACAAAATAAGTCAATGACCCCTATATTAGTATAAGGGAGGTGTAAAATATTCTTATCACTCCAACCAGGTGGGGCTACTTATTAAATGAGGGGACCCAGTCTTCCCCCCAACCCCTACCTATGGGCAGTGGGTGGGAGATATACAGTAAATAAAATGACCAGGTGGTCTAATTTTCCTTTCCAAACATGTATACTTAACATTAGATGTCTTCTTTCTTCTACAGTATTCTATTGTTCAACACCAAAATAGGCTTAAAAAATCCATTACATTCTGACTTTGCTATTAAAATAATAAAAAAGCCCCGATTCACAAAAACTCAATATAGAAATAGATCCAAGTGATCCTGGGTACAAAAAGAGATTTCAAGGTTGGAAAAAACCTTAGTGGATCATATTGATTGGTTGGCCTGCAAGACAACCAATCACAGTGCTCTGACGTGCAAGATTCACTCTCGAGACATGCCTGGGAATACATTTAATATTAGCCCCCAACTGCCAACCATTGGTGGGGTCTGAGTTTTTATCACGTGACAGGAGGCTTTATATTTGCATAATCTTTCTTTACTATAACTCCAACAGCACAGATCAATCAAAACTTTTAAACCAATCAGAAAACAAGAGTCACTGCTATAAATAGCGCTGTGATGCACTTCCACTTCCTCTTTCTTTGCTGCTCAGCCAGAGTACAGGTCAGAGTATTACTTCATCCATTTCTATCTATTTACAATTTGTCAGTAATTCTGTTTTTTCATACTTTTTCTACTTTAATTTCTCCCCTATCACTGCTCCTCTAACCCTACCTTCCCTCCTTTCTACCCAGCTAACTTCCTGAGGTAACTTTCCATCTGCGGCCCAATTTTGTTCGCGGGCGGGTGTCTGTGTACCGTTCCTGGTAACAGGGGTTGTTTTGGGTGTTGGGGCACTGTGGAAATTGGAGACTTTTTTATTTATAATTTTTTGGTTTTTTTTCGTTTTCTCCGCCGCTCGCACGGGAGTTGTTCCCATCTTGGATTGCAGTAGGGACCCTAATTGTGGCCTTGTTTGGTATTTATCCTGACACTGGGGATATGGCATCCAGCCTTCAGAATCTCCCTTCATAAATCAGGATTCCTGTCAGAAATTACTAGACGACTTGCTGATCCTCTGCGACTCGGCCTCACTACTGGTCCTCAGACGAGATTTATCGTGGACTTTATCAAATCGTTGGGATTCATAGTTGTGACAGATCCATCTGTATAGACTGGAATTGCTGGTTCGTCTGTTTTGCCTCTTTCGTGGAATTACCTGTCCGTATGCCCCTGTTTGTTTGTTTATTTGACTTTTCTGCCGAACAAAACTACTGAATGGACGGCCACCCAGAAGAGAAGTGTGCAGCTGGTTAACCTCTTGATCCCAATTAGAACGTTGTGGTTAACCGCAGACACCTCTCAATTAAAACCGAATACAGGGTGGTCGTCGTTCGTATGTTGACCACGAGGCGGCGGCCATTTTAAAACAGGCGAAAGGCCAGCGGTGTTCGCCACAGATTCTATGGAACTAAAAACGGACACTTTTTTTCCGCCGAACACCGCTAAAGCCACGACCTCCCTTTTCGATTGACAAAAGCATACGAACACCGGCCATTCGGGAGTTTGAACCACACGAATGGACTTAACCCAGATAGCCTTCCCATGGAGTCAATCGCATACCGAAAGACTGTAATAGACTTTGACTCCATGGTGATTGAACTGTGCGTATGGGATCTGAGCGCTATTCGCCAATAATATGCACTCAGATCCAGGCTATCTGGGGATATGTTACACGAATGAGAAATGTTCGGCAATTCTAAAGTTATATATTTTTATGTGTTTTTTGGGTTGTATCTAAAATTGCTATTTGCCTCTGTCCTGGGAGATAATTGAATTACTTCTCAATCATCTCCAGGGCAGAGGAGAGGAAACCATGATGCATGCTGGGAATATTATGTGCCTGTGTGTCCTGAAATACTGTATGTCCATCTGCTATTACAGTCTCCCATTTGGTCCCCTAGGGGAGTGTCCACCAAGTGGGAGACCTGCATAAATACGGGCGGGTAGCCCACAGTAAACCCAGTTCATGTTTTACCCTCAATGCAGAGCTTGGTCTCGTTATTGGGGGGATTTATTACGACGAATAGAGACTGCCGGATGGGAATATTAGCCGCTTGGGAGATATATGCGTTCAGCTACTAGCGGCGCTTCGTGGGTTTGCTGATTGGGAAGTGAAGTACCCGTACGGGTCCCGTTCGGGAGATTGGAACATTCCCCTGCTTGCAATTCGTATGATTGCAGTTGATACGAATGAAGCTTGCGTTATGGTGAGAGGGGAGGATTCACTAAACGGCGGTTTGTCTATTTAATGCTGAGGGTGCCGTTACAATAGTAAACAGGGAAAAAGCGTCTCTCAAACCAGCTCAAATTGTCCAGTTCCTTGGATTCGAGATCGACTCCACAACGTGCCTTCTATGCCTACCCCTATCGAAAATTGCATCGATCCGGAAGGAAATTCGTAAAGTCCTACAATTGGAGCTCATCCCTTTACGGCTCCTGGCACGTCTGGTGGGCCTTCTATCCGCCTCTATACAGGCGATATATCCGGGCCCACTCCACTACAGAGCCATGTAAAGACACAGGGCCCGTATCTTACGGGCAGGTTACTCCCCAACTAATACCGATCACCACAGAGGTGCGCAAGGAACTACGTTGGTGGCTCCTTCATATGCAGGCCTGGAATGGGAAAGCCATCTTTGGGCCTTCTCCAGACTTCGTAGAGGAATTGGAGGCTGGGGAGCACACTGCGCATAATCCTCCACCGGGGGCCCATGGCTTCACGAGGAGGTGGAAATGCACATCAACTGCGCTCGACTGACTGGTCTTGCGAGGAGACTTTTCGTATCTTCTATTTCCGTCCTGCTTCTCATGCTTCTTTCACCCTTCTCTCACAGCGTTAAAAATGCAAATATGAAGCCTCCTGTCATGTGATAAAATTGTAGATTATGCTAACGTAGTGTACCTATAATCTTAATTTTAGTAATGACAGGAGGCAAATATTTCCCCTTCTTCTCCCTGGCAGGCTTCTCTGTCCTCTCTACCTATTTTCCACTGTTGCTTACACATTTTTTCTTACTTTATTATGGTGACATCATTTTACAAATTTAACATGAATGTCTAGAGATATTGTCACTAGGGTACTGATGAAATATGGCCATTTCGCTACAGTTCACCTTTTTCTCCTTTTTTGCTGTTTGAATGCTGGCACCATACGGTGGATTTTGTCTTCACACCTTGGTCGTTTCAAGCAAAATTTGAATTACATAGGATCCACATCGTTATCTGAGTTATGATTTTTGGACTTGTTCACGGGACTCTTCGTTCACTACAAAGAATGAGGAAGTGGAAGTGCATCACAGAGCTATTTATAGCAGTGACTTGTTTTCTGATTGGTTTAAAAGTTTTGATTGATCTGTGCTGTTGGAGTTTTAGTAAAGAAAGATTATGCAAATAGGAAGCCTCCTGTCATTACTAAAATTAAGATTTATAGGTACACTACGTCAGCATAATATACAATAATTTTTTTTAAATCTTGTGTATAGTAAATTACCCTTTAAGTGTCTTCACTATTATATGGTGGTTAGTAAGATTTGCTTTAATGTGATGTTTCTCTCTGCATAGTCTTCAAAAACAGGGAAAAAGGCAGTCAGACAAAGACAGAAAGAGAAAGAGATACTTGTGGCAAAAGTAACCTCGCCACTGGTTCTTGGAGGTGCATGTTTGTCAGCCTCCTGCCTCAGGACTATGGGCCATGTAAAAAGGCTCATAAAAGACCTTGTTTGTGCCTTTTTACTGTTGTTTGGTAGATTGCATTCCCCTCCTATTCTAACATTGTCCCGTTCGACTACCGAACAACCGCACCAACCAGAGATCACCCGGGAGCTTGTTAACACCTATTAACACCTTGGAACGGTTCTCACCGCAGTGTTCTAATTGTTCGTCTGGGTTGCCGCAATTCCTATGGACAACCACGAGGTGGCGACCATCTTGTTCACGTGAACGCAGGCAGCGGTGTTTGGGCATGAATCTCATGGAACTAAAATTGGACACAGAAACTCCCGAACACTGCGGGACTTCCATCATCGCCTGCGTTCGGTTCTACACACTTTAGAAAAGTGTTTGTCTGCATGAGGGAAACAAGCTCCAAGGTACGAACATTGACTATGTTTGGTAGTTTGTTCGTTTTCCAAACTACCGAACTAGACCGACTGCAAGCCCTGATTCTATGGAACTGTTTTAGGCATGGGACCATGTGTGCATTCGGTCAAATAAATGACTTCCAGGAAAGTCCTGAACCCCTGAACTGATCTGGGTGATTTTTGGATATGTTGGTCAACCAGATCAGGGCTATCAGGGGATGTAACATTTGTGTGGGTGTTGTATGTTTTAAATGTATTTTGGGGGTTTTATAAAAATGTCAGTTTTGTGTCTGGAGATAATTGAGTTTAGTTCAGTGCTTGACTCAATTATCTCCCAGATACAGGCGGGATTAATCTATTATGTGTGGCAGTGTCCTGGACCTGAGAGCCAATGTAATTGTGTATTTGTTTATACTGTGGTTTACTCTCAGGTCCACGGAGGAGTGCCCCTTGCATGGGGACTTGCATAGTTGTGGCTCCCATTAAACGAGTTCCTGCTTACCCTCAACATAGAGTCTCATCTCGTGTGTGGGGGAAATGGCTGTTTCTACCCTGGGGATTGCTATATCACTATAATCCCCTGGGATTATAATCATTTGCTCTTTTAAGAGCATATTGCTACACTCTATTGCAGGAGAGGTCTACCCACTGGAAGCTGGATCTTGCTCTTGGGTCCAGAGTGGGTGGAGGACAGCGAGACACCAACCAAGCTGTAACGCTGGAAGTGGGGACTACAGTGCTGATGGTGTCTTGTGGTGTGCTTGGAGTACTCGGTGAGCACTAGGAGTATTGATTGGCAGAGGCACCTGGTTGGGGTGCCAGGCGGTCCGCCACAATACTGATGATGGAGATACTATTGACAGAGTATGTATGCTTTGGCGTAAATTTTTAAATTGTAATGCTCCATGATGGACATGATAAAATTACAATTTCAAAACCAACCATTATAGATGGTACTTATATAAACTGCCATACCACATCTAATACAACCCTGTCAGAAGATACATTGACATAGGGCTTTTCGAGCTGTATCATTCTCTCACTTGCCTAATCACAAAGAAGGTCTGTGTTTTGACCAAACAGATATGTATACAGAATTCAAACGTGTTGGTTGGGCAACACAAACACAAACCAATTTTCAACATCTATTCACTCTTTATCAGATGGAGCCTAATAAGGACAGAAATTGCTTAGTTTGAATTGCCCATATATTTATTTAAAGGAATTATCCAGTGCCAGGAAAATATATTTGTTTTCCTGGCACTGCAGGACCCTCTAGTGCCCCTCTCCCACCCACCCCCCATCCCAAGTTGCTGAAGGGGTTACATCACCCCCAGCACTCAGGGCTCCCCATATCAGCACTTACACACACCTTTCATATTCCCGCCAATTCACTTAAACTTACCCCCCACGAAGGGTCACACTTACCCGTCAGAAGGGGTTGCACTCACCCGGTCGGAACTCCATCTACAGGCACAAGTCTGCTTCTGCCTCAAAGCACATCCACAGTAGGCACTACAACAGCAAAGCAGGCTGTAAACACCAATCACTCACAGACATTTAAAGGGGAAGTTAAATGACACAGTTCCAGCCATTGCAAATATAACACAATTATGAAAATATCATGGCTGATTATTAAGTACAATATGTTGTAATAATGGAATATGCATTAATGTCACAAATGGTTTTCCCCTCTCATGCGTTTAGTTATGCTGAACAAATTACTTTACAACTCTGCTGACATCTATTGTATTCTAATGCAAGGGTGTTGCATTAAATCTGTAGATCTGCTTTTGTGATTCTAATCCAATCATGATTCTCAAGAAGTATTTTGTCGCCTAATAACTGATTCTCCTTGCAAGGTTTTACAAGACCTAGACAAAGACAAGAATATTGTATTATTTCATAGGTATGTGCACCATAAGCACAAACATACGTTATGTTAAGCAGACATAACACTCCCAGTGCACGAACATACAATGTACGCCGGGTACACACGATACCTAGCATTCATTTGCATAATTGCTATAACGTATTTTGACATATGTTACAGATTCAAGACGCCAAGGTTGGACTGACTTGGCCTCCCGAACCTAATATCTACGTAACCAGCAATCATAGTTAGGTGGTCATAGAATATGCTACGTACAAGTAAGGGGGCAGTTTTATCTATGGAATACCAGTACACTCTCATATGTACCCTATACCTTCCACTCTGTCATCCATCATCTGGTTTAGTCCTCTCCCCTAGCTGGAATTAGACTACTACAATACGATCAAACAGAACTTTGTGCATTCAGGTAAGTTGCTCTGGTTTAGACAACAAAGTTGGTTGTAATACACATATCAACCAGTAGAGACGCATCGGCTCAGCCACTTAGGTATTTCCTCCCAGGCACCTTTTGCCATAGTAAGAGGTCCCGCGAGGCCAACACCCATCTTCCACGTAAGAAGTAATGACGCCCCACGGACCAAATCATAGCTAAACGCCTCGTATGTCACATAGCAAGGGTATCAACCGTCACATCCCCTCCACAGATCAAAGGCTCAGGTCTTGCAAGCCTATATATATATATATATATATATATATATATTTCAGTTTGTCCCAAGTTCCAGAAGAAGGGATGATATTTATATATTCCAAGTACTCCACCTAGGACTGCCAAACCTACACGAATAGGGGACACCAGCAGTCCATCTTCAATTAGATCATGGACCACCCCATGAATCACGACGAGTTACGCAGGGCAGCACATCCTTTACAGCTACTGCCCGCAAAACAGAACTACTCAGGCTGATGCAAGCCAATACTAACAAATCTGACATGAGGGATGGCTCAAGTGGGTGGCTCAAGGGGCACGAGCAATGCCACCTGCATACCAGGATTTCCGCTGGCGTAACATCCATGGGGCATAGGAACAATGTACTAGAGACACTGGAAGCCTGTAGCTGTCCAGTCGCGACACCAGAATCACTCGCACCGATAGTCCGGGCCTTCCCATTCCCAACCCGGTAATACCATCATCTTATGGTCTCAAGTCATTACTCCAAACCATATGATACAGGCAAATCTCAAGAAGGACATACTGGAGGGCAAGGATGTTAATCCCGTCTCACTTCTCATTGTCACCCAAGATGTCACAGAGAACTGCTCATACACCTAGGGCGATATCTCAGTGGTCCTTAAGGCCAGAGACACAAGTCCGAGTTAAATTATTCATCAGTATAATTATAACCTTCATGGTCTGGGGTCAGTACAGACACTACTGCACTCCACAGATCTCAGGCTATATTCCTGGCAATTGTGTCCAGTACGTCTACCCTCAGGTCTTTGGACTCAACAGGTATATAGTACATTTAATTATGGCTTTTCAGCACCTCTATCATGTTCCCCGTGTAGACCCTACACCGATCATATGTTGCGCTGAAAGTTACTGTACGATCTCAGTATGACCATGTTCAATTATGGCTTCACTGTCATAACCAGTAACTTTCAACTGATCCACAACTTAAAATAAACATCAACCCACCCCATTAAATTCCCCTCAAACTTACGTTACCTCCCAGGTCCACAGGAACTACATTGGGCCTCTCTCAAACTCTTATGCATAGTCCTCACACAAAGCCATCTATGGGCGTTTTTGCAACATAATTCAGGTAATCTTAGTGGACAACACGTCTTATTTACAACCCCTCATTTGGGCACTAAGTTCACATATCAGCTGGATCGGAATGTATGCGTAAAGTGCAGCTATCTCACAGCTTGCTACCTGTAAGTCAAACACATCTTAAAGTATTATACTTCTGCTATATCTTGCACTGTCCACATATAGCCACACAGTAGCTCTCCTCACGACCCTACCTACACGGCCTACTCCTGGCCAAACGCACAGAAGGTAATAATTCCCTCATAACAGACGTTCTCCTTACCTCTCTTATTTTACTACTTCAATCTAGCATATTGTCAATTTACAACGCGTGCAACATGCCACATACATTAGGACACATACTGAAGTCATCATGTGGGTCATTTAAGTTTCCCGGGATCGACCTCACTAGCCAGCCGCCATTGGGCTTACATAGTCAATTCCATATTGGACTGTTCCCACATCACCATTACGTATTAAGACCAGTCCATATACATCATATTATACTGTCCTTCCTGCTTTCCTGGCTATTTGACTGCTCGGGCAACCATGATACAAGTCACCACATTAGCCATGCACATGCAAGGCCTATGGTACGGCCTTACCTAGCATCTAGGCTGTTGAGTAATTCCAGCTTACAGGGGCAACTATTGACCCATGGCCAATTTTCTTCACAACCACACTCTTTTATGCATTACATACGACCCACCAAAGGGCTATCCACCATAGCACAATGGCAGCCCCTCATCTGGGCTATTACATATGGCATAGGAATTAAAATTTTGCCATAAGTTTGCATTTGTGTGACAACCTACCACAGCATGCATCTACACGTGGCCCTCACTAGGCCTTCACTCACGTGATATACGACCCACCGCGAGCAATCCACTACAGCTCAAATTCAGCCCACAGGTGGGCAATTACAGACAAATAAGGTCACGTTAGACCACTCATATCCTCCTTATACGGCCTTTCTCGGCATTTAAAAACTCCAGTCACAGACACTTTACGTGATCTCCAATTTTAGTTCCCGCTGGTAAACCAGGAATGTTCCACATAATTCATACATATTTCAGGTTCTTCTAGAGGAAGGATGCCCAGCGGGAATTCACCTAGGCACAATATATTTAAGAGTGTCTTCCCCATACATATATATATATATATATATCTATATATCTCTATCTCAAACGATAAACTGGAGCACTCAAAAGGACTTCACTATAGAGAAGTCCTTTTGAGTGCTCCAGTTTATCGTTTGATGTATATTTGGGACGTTGGATGCACCAAAGGCAAGATTTACTGGAACTTTTCAGGGGTGAGTGCCTAAATTATCATTTTTGTGTGTGTGTGTGTGTGTATGTATGTATATATATATATATATATATATATATATATTGTATGTATATATGTGTGTGTTTTACTAGGGTCATCTACATATGTAGTCACCCCGATGCAACGTCTTACACAGGGCTTGCTGCAAGCTCGCAGGACAGTTGGCTGTGGTGTAGGTGCCTGGAAAAGTAAGCCAGATCAAAGGGTTTCGTAGAACTCTGCACGCTTCAAGGTATATCCCACCATAGCCGCAGCAGCAACATGGGGTCATTCATGGGCAAGCAAACCGGTTTGAGGTCTCTGACTATTTGTCAATTGGCCACATATAAACAAGTCCGGTCTTGTATCCCTTATTATGAATTTATCAGACGGCTAACGTAGGGAAAGCCTGTCACCATTTTTATCTAGTATATTACCACGTACCAGGCATTTACAATACAGCTGCTGACCAGTTATCTAGTCTTCAGTTTCAGGCGTTCTGGAGGTCCCTAACAACTGCCTCACCGATAGCCATGATCGCTCCCCAGCTCCAAGAATTACCTATGGTACAGAAGATTTTCTAAGTTACAGCAGGAAGTCACACAGTTGGCCTTCAAAGATTACGCACACTGCTATGACAGAGCTTACTGCATATATCGAAGTTCATGTCAGATCACCACCTTATAAACTGGTTCAAGAATACAACGTTGGGGGGCTTTCGCAACTTTTGCCACATCAAAATAAAGGTCACACAACACTATTAGGTTATATCTCCTGGACATTTTACACCACATGTTTCAGTTACAAACACCATTCTAAAAAAAACAAAACGCCATATACTTGGCTTATTATGGTTTCCTATGATAATTTACCATCACAGGGCAACAGGATTCCAAGCTTTGCCTACGGTATTCTAACCTGTACAAATACAGGATCACTACGTGTTAAGCTTACCATCAACTAAGACCAGCCAGAGGGGTCAAGAGGTACTTTTTCAGTACTACCCCACCAACAACGCATACCTCAGCCGTCACAGGAATTAAGGAATGTATTTGTGCAATGTCATAGTAATACGCTAACTCCATGACTTGTGTTTTCGTAATAAATATCTTTGATAACACTATATGGGTATTCCTTTTTGCCCACTTATTTACCGACCTACCACACACGTCGGTTTCTGCACACCTCTACTGACTTTTTATTATTATGATAAGTATACTCACTAGATATTTCATACAATACTGAAATTGCCCCGAACACAAATTGGAAGGCGGGGCCTGAAGTTGTGGGAGGGGCTATGTCCCTTTAAAAGGGACTCCCCCTCCTATCTAACTTACCTACTGGGCCAGACAGGCTTCTGGCCCACCCTCCTCTCCCTCTATTCAATACTATTTAAGGTAGGCCCACTAATATCCAGGCCTACCACACACGTCGGTTTCGGCACACCTCTACTGACTTTTTATTATTATGATAAGTATACTCACTAGCTATTTCATACTATACTGAAATGGCCCCGAACACAAATATATATATATATATATATATATATATATATATAAACAAATCAATAAAATATCCATAGCAGTGTAAAATATCCACAACGTGTTTCACCAACAAGGCTTCATCAAGTGGAGATAAAACAGCGTTGTGGATATTTTATACTGCTGTGGATATTCTATATTGTTTTAATAAAGGTATTTTGGCTACTTCCATTTGTCACTTTTTTATTTGTTATTTTATTTTCTACCTGGCATCCACTTTATGTTACAGTGAGGACTATTCCTAAAGAATCCAAGGTGGGGATTATACCACTTACGCCCTATACAGTGAGCACTTTGTCTGCTCTACTAAATGTGAGTAACAATTAATTATTTCATTCTCCTGGCATTTTTTTTTTTATACAGTGAGCACTATTGTTGTCTCTTTTAAATTTCTTTTATGGTCTACATATTGAAAAAAGTCTACCTAACAACATATCATCACATATCCCTAGGTGGGGATTGTAACACTGCACGCTATTCAAACTAGAGCTGGTTATAAGCTCTTAAAATTGTGAGAAGGACTATATTAGACTTTTTATACTGGTATTATCTATCTCTGGGATATATTGCACTATTGGTTTTTCCTTTTGTTTTTACATACGGATGAATACCTTGAACTGTTTTATAAGAATTATTCTGGATATATTTGAGGCTATATCTTCTGGCAAGTTTTATTGGACTTATTTTTTATATTGGAGTTATATATTTTAAACTCTACTTTGTCTATTCTGCTTTGTTTAAAAAACAATGGTGGTTTAGTTACAGTTTATGATCATACATTGCATAAGCCTGCCACAACGTCAATGTACCTCATTCTTGGCAGGTCCTACTTTAGCAGCATAATGCCTGCTCTTTTATATAAATAAGTTTTCACAGTAAATATATTGAAATGCAACATAAAGTGCCATTGTCTAGCAATATGATATGAAGAAACTGAATACAGCACTAGTTCCAGCATTTAAATAGTAATTACAAAGAAGTCATTTTTACCACAATCTAAATCATTTTTTAATCACTGCAACCTTATTAATCTGTTTCAGTAATATGCAATTACAAAATGTAGTGAATCTGTTTTTATCAATAATGTGAGCAATCCAGACTAGAAATGAGTGCCTAGTGCTCTGTTCCTAAGTCTACCATTTATCTCTGCCTAGACACCAGCTTGTAAAAGCCATTACTCATAGTAAAACAATAAGCATATGTGATGTAAGGAACTGTTAACCATAAAATCACAATCACAGATCAATGCTCAGGAAAAAAGGGAAATTGGGGGCACATCCGAATCATGCATTTCTATGTAGTGGTGCTGATTACAAATTAGGGAACATCACGCACAAATAGATAAATACATAAAAATAATAGTTTAACACTTTACAAGCCTACTTAAAATTACATATATTGGACAACAAATATGGGGATTCAGTTACACCAGAGGTTCCCAAACCAGTCTTCATGACCCACCAACAGTCCAGGTTTTGACAGTATGTCTATTGGAATAAAAAAAGGGAAATACATAAACCCTGGATTGTTAGTGGGCCATGAGGACTGGTTTGGGAACCACTGAGCTACACCATATGGCCATATTGTGTAAAGCCCACCACTATTTCACAGTACCCCAATATAGGTTGGTCCTATTTAAATTTTAACAATGGAGATTAACATGCATATGGAACACGTCCTGCTTAAACTGCTTTCAGAGACTCTCCTCAATTTATGCTTTCCTGTGGTCACCTTGGGTGCTCAGCCCAATGGAAAACTGGCCTGGATTCCAAATCTACACAGAAAAAAATGGGATTTAGGGCAAACCTGGAACATGCATTTATAAGTCGTGGTGCTGCTGTAAAGACCAAAATGTATCATGTGAATTGAACGTGCTTGTGAATTGCAAAATTTGGGTTATGACCACAATTTGTACTAAAAATTCCAATCTGAATATTCACTTCCTGCAATTCATGTGGCAAATTTAGAGATTAACCCACACTTCAATAACAATTTGTTTTTAATGCAGTGTCTGAATTGCATACACTTTATTGCCATTTGGACATTTATCAAATACTAGATTATAACATCCTAAATCATATTCAGGGTTTCTGTTCACCTGCACTAAATAAAAAACAATTGGAGGTAACATTGGAGATTTATAATATCATATATATTTATATTTAAAGTATGTTTGCAGCTCTAAATAAAATAGATAAACAGAGACAACTAAAATAGCAGCAATTTCCCTTGAAGGAAAAAAACACGTCAGAGCCAATTATGCCTATACAATAGCACAAAAAAATGCATAAAGAAAAGGAGGAATTACTTACTGCTGTGCAAAGAATAAATAAGACGCTGAAGCTCTATAAAAGAATAAGAGGAGCGAAATGGACTTCCTACAAAACTGATTTCCCGTCACTAGAATTGCACTAGTAGCTCTATCTCTCGCAAAAACACAGCTGCCAGCTTGCAGTACAACACCAGGGTCAGTGACAGCCAAGTCAGGGGCAATCACAGTAGACAATTGATGGTGCAATACAGGTATGGTTTTTTAAAAATCTTTTTTGAAGTGTAAGAGTCCTGCTTTAAGTAATAAATATATATGCTTTGGTTGAACGTTATTATTTTGTGTGATTTTTGCACGGCTTTCCATGCCCCTCTTTATGTTGACATATATTGAGTGGATATCGGAGGGATAAGATAAACAAGCAAGGAAGCAACAGATGCCATTACAATTATTATAGAACTTGGGCTGGGGCACAATATACTACATTATGAGGACTTTTAGAAGATTTTATATATGTATCTATCTAATTTTACCTATTCTGTACATTTGTTGTCCCAGTATTTTATTTTTTTATTTGTTCTTATTAGGTGCCTAGCAATATTTATACGTTTTGCTTAACTAATGTAAAATTACCTGTGGACTTCAACCTAACATCAGGTGAAACAATAGACATCATAATAAACAGAATGAGATGCAGACTTGTCCCAAATACTTACACCTGCCCTTTAGTTAGGAGACAAACAGAGTTAATCACTAAAGTGAAAATTCAAAGTAAATTTCAAGTAAAAGCCAAAGTAGTCAAAATGAAAACATTCCCTAAATCAGCTAGGCGTCCAGTTTTGCTACATGGGCCTCAAATTTGAAATTCATTTTGAATTCTAATTTGGTGACTAACCATGTATGTTTATATGATCCACTAAAGCATTGTCTTTGTACCCCGTATTTGCAATTTGACCCCAATTAGTCCTTACATAATACAAAATATTAAAGAGTTTTTTGCAAGTTGGCCTACAGCACTTTTTTATTAGGAATCCAAGCACATTCCATGTTTCTCTAATGAAACCATTGATTTCCAGATGATAGGCTTAAATCATACCCCCTCTGTTTAAGTTCTCGATCACAAAAAGATTACTTTGTGGAAGATTCTGTTTTGCAGTTTCTGGATAGATTACCTCCAATGTCATATTAACGGAAAAGGCTATGTCCCGATGAAGGGACTGGACATCTGTCCTGAGGTGCTAGGTCCAGGTTCTGAACATGATTTATACATAAATAAATTACTAAAAGCAATATGCTACATTCATTGTAGTATTTAAAAAAAGTCTTCCCTCCCTCAACCTATCCTATCTTGCACAAGTCCTAAATAACCATATTGTTTTTATATCCTCTCTGTTCTTGTGTGTCATTGACTGCCCCTTTCCTGTCTCCAGTCTCAGGTATTCTCATGGTACAGGTAGGCCTGAGTATTGAGGAAAAACAACACTGTACCATTTTAAGATATGTCTTTATGACAAAGCAGGCAGCAGGTGATTATAGTTCTATATAAACCTTATCATAAGATCATAACTGCATCTTATCCCACATGGAGCAGATGCACGAAAAACAACTTGCAACTGTTTCAACATGAACTAGTGAAACACTAAAGTTACAAAGTGAGCAAGGAATAAAAATTGAGACTATGAAAAAATATTCAGCAACGGGGCCAGGTTCAACATTTTCATTATGCAAATAAGATCGGTGCAGAGCAATTATCTTGATGTAGAATTAATGCTGAAAATAGATATCAAAATTAGGAAGGAACAAAGAATCAAACTAGTGGTGAAACATCTGAATGATTTGGCACAGGAACGTAATAGTTCTAATTATTATAACTTCAGTAATGGCCTTATAAGCACACCGGCAGCAAGCCAAACAGAATAAGATAATCTGTGGGAATTGTGTGTCCATCAGCAGTATCCCATTGTCAGGAAACTGACAGGGATCCAATACGCAGAGTGCGCACAGAAGGAGGTACGTATACCGGACCTTAGAATGGCCGGACTAACGTAAGGACAAAGCAAGAATAGTCAAAAGGTAAGCCGAGGTCAAGGGAGCCGGAGGACAGGTAAGCGAGATACAAGCCGAGTCAAAGGAGAGGAGAGGACAACAGGACAAAAGGCAAGCAAGGGTCAAAACCGGAAACACTAGATAAAGAACGCGCTGAGTGACTAGCAAGCTAGAACCACGACAGGGCAATGAGCAGTAGTAAAGGTTTCCTTTAAATACCCTGTTACCTAAATAGAGACCACGCCCCCAAAAGGTCCGGAATAGCGGTTCCCGGCACTTTATGCAAATGCCGACGTCATGACGTCGACGCTAGCCGTCGCGTCATAAAAGGGGGAGGAGCTAGCGCGGCCGGCGCGAAAACGGCCGGAATATGCCGAAATGCTAGGGGAAGGGAGCCCCTAAGCAGAGAGGATGTCCTCCCTGGATACATCACCAACAGGTACCCTGACAGTACCCCCCCTTCTAGAAACGCCCACCGGGCGGATGGGACCTGGCTTAGAAGGAAAACGAACGTGGAAGGCCCGAAGAAGACGAGGAGCATGCACGTCTATACCAGGAACCCAAGACCTCTCTTCTGGACCATAACCTTTCCAGTCTATGAGGTATTGCAGCTTCCCCCTAGAAATACGAGAATCAAGGATGGACTTGATGATATATTCCTCCTGACCATCCACACGGACCGAGGATGGAGGAGTAGAGCGGGAGGAAAATCTGTTACAAACAAGAGGTTTCAATAACGACACATGAAAAGAGTTAGGGATGCGTAGAGTAGGAGGTAGATCCAGCAAATAAGAAACCGGGTTGATCCTCCTCAGTACCCTGTAAGGACCAATGTAACGAGGAGCAAACTTCAAGGAAGGAACTTTCAGGCGAATGTGTCTGGTACACAACCAGACCCTATCCCCCGGAGAAAAAATAGGAGCAGGACGTCTACGCCTATCAGCATGTGACTTAAACACCGCGGAACTACGTTCAAGAATTTGTCGAGTCTGATCCCACAACTTTCTCAGGTTGGCTATATGAATATCAACCGACGGTATACCCTGGGAAGGAGACACCGACGGAAGAACAGTAGGGTTAAAGCCATAGTTCAAGAAAAAGGGGCTATTATGAGTGGAACCACAAACAAGGTTGTTGTGAGCAAACTCCGCCCAAGGAATCAGACCGACCCAGTCATCCTGGTGTTCAGAAACAAAACAACGTAGATATTGCTCAATTTTTTGGTTAGTGCGTTCGGCTGCTCCGTTAGATTGAGGATGATAGGCCGAAGAAAAATTCAGTTTGATGCCCAACTGTGAACAGAAGGATCTCCAAAAACGGGAAATAAATTGAGAACCCCTGTCTGACACAATCTCATTGGGAATACCATGTAAACGGAAAATTTCTCTAGCAAATATCACGGCCAGTTCGGGGGAGGACGGAAGTTTAGGCAAGGGAACGAAATGAGCCATTTTAGTAAACCTGTCAAGGACCGTGAGTATAACTGTATGCCTATTGGAAGCTGGTAGATCAACAATAAAATCCATAGCCAAGCAAGCCCAAGGTTTGTTGGGAACGACTAAGGGCTGCAATAAACCACAAGGGAGATCCCGCGGAAGTTTATTCCTGACACAAACATTGCAAGCCTTGACAAAGTCTTCCACATCCCTACGTAAACCGGGCCACCAGAAGTCTTTTGAGATCAGGCAGTAAGTTTTGTGGATGCCGGGGTGACCAGCGATCTTGCTATCGTGGAAACAGCGAATAATGTCCACTTGGAATTTGGGAGACACGAACAAGCGGCCCACAGGAGTACGTTCGGGAGCAAGAGATTGTTCGTTCTGAATATCAGCGAGCAATGGAGAGTGTATTTTGACATTGGTGTTGGCGATAATATTGACTTCAGGAATAATAGGGAACAAAGTATCCTCTGTAGAGGTGGTAGGTTCGTGCTGACGTGACAAAGCGTCTGCCTTAGTGTTCTTAGAACCAGGCCTGTAAGTAAGCACATAATTAAAGTGTGTAAGGAACATAGACCAACGTGCCTGCCTGGCAGATAATCTTTTGGCCTCCCCCATATACGATAAATTTTTGTGGTCAGTCAAGATAGTAACTGGGAGGACGGTGCCCTCTAACAAATGTCTCCATTCCTTTAATGCCATAATGATAGCTAAAAGTTCTCTATCACCAATGTCATATCTCCTTTCAGTGTGTGACAGTTTCTTGGAAAAAAAACCGCAAGGGTGCAGCGGCTTATCTAAACTTTGTCTTTGGGATAACACTGCGCCTATCCCTGTTTCAGACGCATCAACTTCAAGTAAAAAGGGTAGAGAGGTATCAGGATGAACTAATACAGGTGCTGAGGCAAAAGACTGTTTGAGCGTTTCGAAAGCAGATAAAGCCTCAGTAGACCAGGTTTTGGTATCGGCTCCTTGTTTGGTCATATTAGTGATAGGAGCGATAACAGAGGAGTACCCTTTAATAAAACGTCTGTAATAATTAGAAAATCCAAGAAATCTTTGTATGGCTTTGAGTCCCTTAGGTAAAGGCCAATCTAAAATCGATTTTAGTTTGGTCGGGTCCATCATAAACCCGTCTTTGGAAATTACGTAACCTAAGAAAGTTACCTGAGACTGGTCAAAGCTACATTTTTCCAATTTACAATACAATCCATGTTGTAAAAGTTTCTGTAATACCTTTCTGACTTGTCTATGATGTGAATTAATGTCTCTAGAATGGATTAGTATATCATCCAAATATACAATTACACATTCATGTTGGAATTCTCTAAGAACTTCATTGATCAAGTCTTGGAAGACGGCCGGGGCGTTACAAAGCCCAAACGGCATTACGGTATACTCATAATGCCCGTAACGGGTATTAAATGCTGTCATCCATTCATCTCCTTGTTTAATTCGCACTAAGTTATATGCTCCCCTTAAGTCAAGTTTAGTAAAAATACTCGACCCCTTTAGTCTGTCAAAGAGTTCAGTAATCAAAGGAATAGGGTAAGCATTTCTGATAGTAATTTTGTTCAATCCCCGATAGTCTATACAAGGACGTAAGGTACCGTCTTTCTTTTCTACAAAAAAGAAACCCGCCCCCGCCGGAGAGGAAGACTTTCTAATAAATCCCTTGTCTAAATTCTCCTTGATATATTCCTCTAAAACTAAGTTTTCCTTGGTGGATAGAGGGTATACCGTACCCCTGGGAGGCATAGTACCAGGGAAAAGTTTAATAGAACAGTCATAAGACCGGTGGGGAGGTAAAGTATCCGCCTTACCCTTGTCAAATACAGATTTGAGGTCTAGATATTGTAATGGTATCTGAACGTCTGTGGATTGAGAAGTGTTAGCATAAGAGTTCACGGGGCAAACAGAAGTAACTCTCTGCAGACATTCTTTCCTACAACCCATACCCCAAGAAACGATTTCTCCACCCTCCCAGTCAATCTGAGGGTTGTGTCTCTTGAGCCAAGAATATCCTAGAACCACTGGGACTGCCGGGGAGGAAATTAACAGAAGGGAAATCAACTCTTCGTGGAAAATACCAACAGTAAGCTTAACGGGTTCGGTCTCATGGAATATTACTGGTTCAGATAAAGGTCTACCATCTATGGCCTCAACGGCCAAGGGTGTATCTCTCAATTGGAATGGGATACAATGCATATTAGCGAAAGTTTGGTCTATAAAGCTTTCTGCTGCTCCAGAATCTAATAATGCCATCGTAGTAATAAACCCCTTTTCCCAAGCTAGAGAGACAGGAATCAGAAGCCTATGGTCTTTTTTATTATGCATAGAGGACAGTAATGAAACACCCAAGGCCCGTCCTCTAAGGGAACTTAGGTGCGAGCGTTTCCCGGACGATTAGGGCAACTGAGACGTAGGTGACCTCTCAGCCCGCAGTATAAACAGAGACCCTCCCTTCTTCTGTACTGTCTCTCAGCCTCAGATAAGCGAGTATTACCTATTTGCATAGGTTCTGGTAGAGTAGGATTATAGGAGTCAGGGTTCTGAAATGAGGGAGCGAGTCTTACAGGAAGTCTAGTAACTCTTTCCCGAGTGTTCTGCCTCTGTCTCATGCGTTCATCTATTCTGGAAATGAAGGATACTAAATCCTCTAAATTTTCCGGAAGTTCTCTTGTGGCAATTTCATCTAGAATTTCATCAGACAACCCATTCAAGAAAACATCCATAAAAGCTTGTTCGTTCCATTTCACTTCTGCTGCCAATGATCTAAACTCTAGAGCATATTCTACAAGGGTCCTATCTTGTTGTTTAAGGCGTAACAGGGATCTGGCCGCATTAATCTTCCTCCCTGGGGGGTCAAAGGTTCTTCTAAAAGCCGTGACAAACGCAGTGTAGTTGTAGACTAAAGGATTGTCATTCTCCCAAAGGGGATTGGCCCATCTAAGTGCTTTATCTATTAGCAGGGTTATAATAAAGCCTACCTTAGCCCTGTCAGTGGGGTAAGCCCGGGGTTGTAGTTCGAAATGTATACTTATCTGGTTTAAAAAACCACGACAAGCATCAGGCGAACCCCCATATCGTAATGGTGACGTGACATGGGAAGATGCGCCTACAGTGGCTACTTCCAAACCAGTACTTAGCGAGTGGCTAGCAGTGGAACGTATTTCTTCAGACTGGGTACTGGAGCGTGTCAACAAAGTTTGTAACGCTAAAGCCATTTGGTCCATTCTATGGTCCATGGCCTCAAATCTGGGGTCAGGAGGACTAGCACCTGCAGGATCCATCATGGCCCTGTCGTAATGTCAGGAAACTGACAGGGATCCAATACGCAGAGTGCGCACAGAAGGAGGTACGTATACCGGACCTTAGAATGGCCGGACTAACGTAAGGACAAAGCAAGAATAGTCAAAAGGTAAGCCGAGGTCAAGGGAGCCGGAGGACAGGTAAGCGAGATACAAGCCGAGTCAAAGGAGAGGAGAGGACAACAGGACAAAAGCAAGCAAGGGTCAAAACCGGAAACACTAGATAAAGAACGCGCTGAGTGACTAGCAAGCTAGAACCACGACAGGGCAATGAGCAGTAGTAAAGGTTTCCTTTAAATACCCTGTTACCTAAATAGAGACCACGCCCCCAAAAGGTCCGGAATAGCGGTTCCCGGCACTTTATGCAAATGCCGACGTCATGACGTCGACGCTAGCCGTCGCGTCATAAAAGGGGGAGGAGCTAGCGCGGCCGGCGCGAAAACGGCCGAAATATGCCGAAATGCTAGGGGAAGGGAGCCCCTAAGCAGAGAGGATGTCCTCCCTGGATACATCACCAACAGGTACCCTGACACCCATACAACAAACAGGCAATATTACGATTCATTTACAGACGATGCTGGAAGGAATACTGTAGTTTAATATCTTAAAGATCACCATGAAAACTTTTATTTTTAGCATTCTGAAAGGAGTCTGTTTATCTTACTGGGTATATTATTGGCCATGAGTGAAATATTCAGCAAATACAAAAATATTAGGTTTTTATTTATTTTTGGCTTTTCTGCTAGTTTTTTTAATTGGACGACCATTATTTGGCATCCTAAAATCTTCTGGGTTCTGGTTTTCCTCATTACTTGGATCCTTTATTCTAGGCAGTTTTTTAATCTGGAGTCACAAGCTAAAGTCTATTTCAGGCTAATCTGCCATTGCATATTTCTCCAGGCAGATTACATAGGAATATAGCACTGTTACTGCATTTTGCCAGGAGGAGACGGGAGCTGAAACTTAACTACGACTCATCCCATTAATTTTAGATGCGCCAGCCTGCAGCTACTACTGTTTAACCTAACAGAGAGAGGCATAAATAGAAATCACTGTAGTAAATAAGCAATTTCCCCGCAGAAACAAACCTTCACATTTCCAACATGCACATAGTGACAATGTGTTCCCTTATGATACTAGCTCAAAGAGGGATCTTGTAGTAACCACTGACTTTCTACCCAATCTGCCATTGCCTAGGAGGTAATTGCATATTTGCATGTATGTAAAGTAAAATTCAAAGTTAAAGCCAGTAAGTTAATGTGAGCACATGCAGGACAAATTAGTATAATATTTAATTTCACATTCTGCCCCCGTGGCTCTCAATGGTATTTTATATTATCTACACTTTATGAGCCATGTAAAAGGGTAAAATGAAACAATATCTTTGTTAATGTGACAGATAAAGGGGCAAACTAACACATTTGCCAGTTTTCATCCTGAAAAAGGAAAACCTCAGTCAGTGTCGTGAAGTTGGTGAGTGGTGTACAAAGTAGGTATCTAACGTAATATTGCAATAATTAGTACTCACCTATTTTTTTTTTTCACATTGTGCAGTAAACATTTTTCCCCTAATGAAAGGATGCTATTCTTGAATGAATGGTTTGCTCAGTGCTCAGTAGTATTCACATTTCATCTGCATTATGACATCATCCTGAACTATTATGACCTCTCAAAGTCTTGTTGATTTACTAATGCCAAAGCAGGCCAAAATTCTTATTTAGTATTTTGATATATAAATTAACCCCTTAAGGACCATAGCAAGTATCTAACTTCCTATCCGAAACAAATCCTAGAAGTTTGCTATATGTTTGTTCAAATGTAATTTTCCTCTTTTGAATAAGGGGAAACCCATACATTTTAAGTATCTTTTTTTTTTTTTTTTTTTTTTTAAATCAAAACTGGTTGGGACACAATTCTTGGGTATATTAATAAACTTTTAGGACTGAAACAAGTGTGGACAGAACAGATGGCAATATTACATCTGAACTTACCACCTCAGGTCGAATTGTGGCCACAAACTAAAGAGCGAGTCAAATGTCAGTGTAAAATGGAATGGGAAATTGCCTCTAATTTTTGAGTTAATCAAGAAAAATATTGTATCTGGGATAAAGGTCTTAGAGGCGACGTGGAGCTGACACCTAGAGCGAACCTGAGTTGAGTTTATTATAGTCCTTCCCTTCTCTATGCAGCCATGCCCCCTTATACTGCCCTAAGATAATTTAGGTACTGTAATTATCTTCACATTGTATGTTTATACATGGAAGTCTAAAATATATATGTAATTTTGATATAACTTTTATAAGATAATGAATTATGCATGTCTTTTTATATTTTGAAAACCCCCAAAAAATATATATTTTAAAGTATCTTTTTTTTTTTTCCATTCTTTATTTTTGAAGTGCAGAATACATTATTTATTAATTAATATTATTATATTTATATGGTGTCAACAAATTCTGTAGCGCTTTACAATTGGTGGACTAACAAACGTAATTGTAAACGGACAAGTTTGATACACAGAAACAGAGAGGCCCTGCTCAATGAGCTTACATGCTAGAGGGAGTGGGGTAAAGTGACACAAAAGGTAAGAGAAGTAGATTGGTAGAATAGTATTCAATGAAGACTTAGTGTGGGTTTTTTTCTGGAGCCAACAGTTTAATTGATATGCTTTTGTGAAAAAGTGAGTTTTTAATGATTTTTTTGAAGGAGTGGAGACTGGGTGAATGTCTAACGAAAAAGGGAAAGGAGTTCCACAGGAACGGTGCAGCCCTAGAGAAGTTTTGGATATAAGAATCAGAGGTGGGAGTACGAACAGAGGATAGACGCAAGTCTTTGGCAAAGCGTAGGGGCCTAGACAGAACATACTTGTGTATTAGGGAGGAATGATAGGTGGTAGGAGCATTATGATAGAGATTTGAAAGCAAGAACCAGAATTTTTTATTGAGCCCTATATCTTACGGGAAGCCAATGCAGGGACTGACAGGGGTGAGGGAGGTGCGGGCGGACAGGAAAATTAGCCTCACCAACGCTTTCATTATAGAAACGGGAGTAGCAACACTTGAGGGAGGAAAGACCAGAAGTTATGTTTTGGACAAGTTGAGCTTAAGGAAGAGGGCAGCCATCCAGTTAGAAATAGCAGAGAGGCAGTCAGAGACACTAGTCAAGAGGGGCGGGTAGAGATCAGGGGAGGACAGATAGATTTGCATGTCATCTGCATAGAAGTGATTTTGGAAGCCAAAGGACCTGATGAGTTTACCAAGGGAGGCAGCATAGATCGAGAATAGTAAGGAACCAAGGACTGAACCTTGGGGGACACCAACAGAGAGAGGTTGTGAGGAATAGGCAGATCCAGAGAAAGAAATGCTAAAAGAGCAGTGGGTGAGGTAGGAGGAGCACCAGGAGAGAGCAATATCTCATAGACAAAGTTTACAGAGGATGAGAAGAAGCTGTTGATGATCAACAGTATCAAAAGCAGCAGAAAGGTCAAGGAGAATTAGGATAGAATAGTGACCATGAGATTTTGCAGCGAGTAGATCGTTTGATACTTTGGTCAGAGCCATTTCCACAGAGTGCTAGCACGGAAACCAGACTGAAGTGGGTCGAGCAGAGAATTGGATTTGAGGAAGTCTGTCAATCTCCCATACACAAGTCTTTCAAGGATCTTGGATGCAAAAGGCAGTAGTGAGATAGGGCGGTAGTTGGACGGGGAGTTAAGGTCATGGTTGGACTTTTTTAGAATCGGGGTTACAGTTGCATGTTTGAAGGGTAATGGAAATATGCCAGAGGAGAGGGAGAGATTGATAATTTTAGTGAGAGGCAAAGCAGGAGAATGAGACAGAGTACAGATGAGATGCGAGGGAAGAGGATCAAGGGAGCAAGTGGTGGGGCGGGAGGACTGGAGCAGATCAGAAACCTCTTCCGCTGTAGCAGGTGCAAATGAGTATAGAACAGCAGAGGGAGTGAGGTTGGGGGAAGTATTGTAAGTGGAAGGAGAGAGATGAGAGATCTCTTCCCTAATTGTGGAGAGTTTGTCAGTGAAGTGAGTTGCAAAGTTTGTGGCCGTTAAGTCGGTAGGAGGAGGAGGAGCAACAGGGCGAAGAAGAGAGTTAAAAGTGTGGAATAGTCGTTTGGGTTCGCGGGAGAGTGGGGTTATGAGGGTATTGAAGTAATTTACTTTTGTAGAGGAAAGAGCCAAGCTGTAAGAGCGCAGCATAAACTTATAGTGGAGAAAGTCAGATGCGGAGTGAGACTTCCTCCAGCAGTGTTTAGCAGTGATGAAGCATTTTTGGATGTATCAAGTCAGCTTGGTGTGCCAAGGTTGTAGTTGGGGGCACTTCCTGCATTTAAGTGTAGGAGGTGCCATGATGTCTAGTTGAGAGGAAAGGGTGGAATTGTAGAAGGAGATTGCAGAGCTAGGGCATGTGAGGTTTGAGATAGGTAAAAGGAGAGTTTGGAGGTTAGTGGAGAAGTTCTCTAGGTCAAGTCCATTGGAGTTTTCTGTGATATTGATGTGCAGAGGGTGGTGTCAGTTGGGTCCTGGGTATGCTGAATATACATATTCATAGATTAACGATGACAGTTGGTTAAACATAATCAGAAAGAATAAACATACAGGTGAAACGTAACATGTCATGAGAGCCTGTACTTTTTCTTGTTGTATGGAAAAATAAAAGTAATACAAGCAGAACAAGCTAAACTGGCATGTCTAGATCTAGCTGATAATGCAGGCTTGCAAATGAATACAGTTGCTATCAAATAGCACACACAAGACTTGAGAAATAGAAACACTAGACATGGTGAGTATAATATAGGTATTAGTATGAAATATCATGCCGACTGGAGTCACTGAGACTGTTCCTCTGGAACTAAAAACATCACTATATCACTTCAATAGGATATTATACAATGAGAAAAATAAAAATAAATAATAAGTGGCATGGGTAGGAATACATATGAAATGGCTTTCTCTATCATCGAGTGAGAATAAGCTTGGATAGTAGTCCCATAAGCATGCTCAACAAACAGTGGCAAAGCTAATACACCTCCTGGGAGACTGTGTCGGAGCAGGGCACCCCTTCAGCTTCAGGCCTTCATGAGGGCAGGCATCATTAAACCACATACAAGAAAACAAGTCCTGCACTCACTCCCATCACTCCTGGGTGGCAGCAAGGACCCAATACATACAGAACTAAATAACTTCCATTTGTTTAAATATGCATAGGGATTTAGGAGAGAGCACAGGTAACTTTTTCTTTGTTTTTTATCATTAAACCACAGACTTTGGATTCTCGTGAGACCGAGTCTATTTGCTTTAATGGGAGGGCAGGGGAGGTTAATGGCAATCTCCACTTTCTGCAGGTAATATTTCTCCCGCATTGGTGATGCACGGAGGCTAAGCCTCAGGTGGCTCTCAGCCTAGGCAGACAACTACAAGATTGTTTAACTTTCCTCTCAATTTTTCGCACTGGGGAGGCCTTACTGTCTCCAGCTACAGTTCAGATATGGTGGCTGATTTGCGTGCTTGTATAGCGCTGAAAAATCTAATTCAACCGTCAAAGGGAGTGGGCAGTGGAGTCGCTAGAAGCACTTGGGTTAGCATTCGTGCCATGTGGGGTTGAGCAAACCGCACCTGCCATCTTGGAGTGTCGGAGAGTGGAGCGGTGTAGTGGAAACCATGATTGAGTAATGAGTAGAGCTGGGACAGCTGACAATACTCCAGAGGAGACCGGGCTATCCCCTACCGGTCTAAGTGGGGGAGTAGGACTGCAGTGGTCCGAACCACGGATTACAGAGCAGATCCCCAAAAGGCTGCTGCCGAGTTTCCCTGACCTGCGGTATATGCAGGATGAAACGTGCAGGCTAGGTATTAGGGGTTAACACCCCAGTTTCAGCCGGATATGCAAGATCTCGAGCTCCGCACATCTGAACAGTCAGAAGGTGAGGCAAGTATAATTTTTCAAAGGACAGATAAGGATTTCTTTTAATAACCAATGTACCCTTTTATTATGATTAAAACAACCCCACCACACTGTTTTATCTAGGAGAAGCATAAAGGAGAATTTTCATTATATGTTGCATGGGCAGGGAAATTGTAACAGGGGAACTAAGCTAATATACAAAGTATAGGGAAGCTATAAGGCTGAATGACACAAGAAGCATCTACTAGTTGCTCTACTGATGCCCTACATAAGTGATGGTTTCTCTTGCCCACACATCCAACAGCCCCAGCTCTCTGTGCCTGTGGTCTTCTCTTCTAATCATGTTATGTTTGGTTTGCCTTACTGTCATTCTCCTCTAGTCTGTCCCTGACTGCTCTTACCTGTGTTTCTCCTGTCTGTGCCTCCCAGAAGACCCCCTGTGTTTGTGTTCCCACTTGTTAGTGTCATCCTATCCCTTGTTCTCCTTTGTTTTTCTGCTTTCCCCCACACCTGTTTTATTTGTTTTTTGTCCTGTAATCGTTCTGTCTTTATGGTTTTCTTGCTGTTTCTTTGTTGATTTTTTTCTTTTGTTTATTTTTTTTCTCATTATTTTCCCCCTTATTTATCCCCCTTCTCTTTTTTATCTGTTTGTCATTCTCTCTTTTTCCTTTCACGTACCATTTTACTTTTCACCTTTTTATTTTATTTTTTCTCTACTTGTTTTGCCCCATCTTTTCCCTTTTTTTTTTTGTTCTTTCATTGTTTCGTTTTGTTTCCTTTGTCCCTTTTCTTTTCCTCCCCTTTTTCTTTTCCCACTTTCCCTTTTTAGGCCTTTTATCCAAGAACTTAAAGTTCTCATGAGCATGCTGCCAAATGCATTTATGCCTTTTCAGAAAACAGTCGAGATATAATGCAGATGCTCATATAATGAGCATCTGTTTAGATCAGCGGTGGAAGAAGCTAAATCATATGAAGATAAATCATATGGGTGGATGCATGATATTGCATTATTGCAAATTAAGTGGTGCTTTAACCAAAGGATCCATAGCAAGCCATGAAAAACTAAAAACAGTAATGAATCCAACAGAAACATAAGGAAAAAGTGCATAACAATGTACTTTGTGCTAAAGAGTACCTGTAAGGGAACCAGGTCCCCATTAATCCCCAGTAGCTGCAACCTACAGTCCTGCAGCTAAAAACAAGGCTACACTAAGATCTGTCAACATGGGTGAGCCAATATAAAAACAGTTGTGTGTAAATGTCCATCTCAAAACAGGCATTATTGGCATATGGGGTCTTAATACTCTCCCCCATTATACTAGTTGGGGGAACTTCTGAGGCTTCCTGAGCTGAGACGGTGAACCCCCAGTGAATCAGTGTCAGCTTTGTAGCCTGGACATCTGAGGTCATAGCTTTTGTCCAGCTTTTTTAGGAAAAAGCTACAGTCAGCTAATATGGCCAGCACATCATTCTGTTGTACTGTCAGCTGAAAAGGGAACTTCAGTATCAAACCATCTTTGGTGAAGAAACTCAAGCAAAGGGTGCTGTGTTATCATTTTATGCAGTGTAGAGGGTGCCAGATCATTGTAGCATTGTTTGGTAATCCCATCCAGACCCAAAAGCAAGTCTCACACCTTTCGGAGGATGGACTCCTTGGTTGTATAGTAGTGACTTTTAATGATCACCATGAGGGATCCTCTGGTCCTGGTCTATAGCTTAGTGCTCAGTGGGCTCTGTACAGGAATAGCCCTGTATTATACATAGTGTCTTAAAGTGCTGAATCACTCTTACTGCTTCCATGGGAATTAATAGGCTGTTGTAGACATGTCCTACTAATCAAATGACCTTGAATTAATTATCAGAAAGTGCAACCACTTCTATAAAAGCCAAAGTTTTGCAGGGCTGGAGCATTCAGGTGTGTGTTAACACAATGCCAAGGAGGAAACACATCAGTAACAATCATGTAGAATAAATTGTTGCTGCCCATTAAACTGGGAAGGGTTATAAGGCCATTCCCAAACAATTTAAAATCCATCATTCTATAGTGAGAAAAATTATTCTAAAGTAGAAAACATTCAAGACACTTGCCCATCTTCCATGAAGTAGACATCCCAGGAAATTTCCACCAAGGTCAGATGTACAATGCTCAGAGAAATTCCAAAAAATGCAAGAGTAACATCTCAGACTCCACAGGCCTCAGTTAGCATGTTAAAGTAAAAGTACAATAACAATTAGAAAAGACTGAACAAATATGGTTTGTTTTAATTGGAGAGAAGCTCTTCCTTCTAAAAAGAAGATGGCTTAGATATGCAAAGTTGCATCTGAACAAACAACAAGACTTCTTGAACATTGTTCTTTGGATAGACAAGACCAAAGTTGAGATGTTTTGCCATAATGCACCTCATCACATTTGTTGAAAACCAAATGCAGCATATCCGCACAAACATCTCATAACAACTGCCCAGTACGGTGATGGAGAGGTAATGATTTTGGCAGCCACATGACCTGATAACTTTGAAGTCATTGAGTCGACCATGAACTCCTCTGTATACCATAGAATTCTAGAGTCAAAAGTGAGGCAATCTGACAGCTAAAGCTTGGCTGAAAGTTGGTCATGCTCAGGACAATGATCCCAATCACACCAGCAAATTTACAACAGAATGGCTGGAAAAGAAAAGAATCAATGGCTCAGTCAAAGTCCAGACCTTAACATGATTGAAATACTGTGGCGGAACCTTAAGAATTCTGTGCATAAACAAATGTCAGCTGTGGCGAAACCGACCTCGCCACTGGGCATTGGAGAAGACTGATTGCCAGCCTCCTGCCATGTGACTATGGCCCCTGGGATGTATTGCCCTTTAAAGATATGATTTGGGAATAATAGATTTGTGCTGCTGCTGGCCCTTTAAGAACCATCTGGGGACATACTATGGAGTTACTGGGTGGCCACCATTTCATGTATCAGAGGCACATGGTGAGAACAATGGATGAAGCACATGGTGAGAACAATGGATGGCGGCCATTTTAACTCACAGACACTGTTTGGACTTTTCTACACGGTGCCATCTCGCCAGTATTTGGTCACAAAGACATCGTGCAGTAGTTTTAAACTATACAACATGGGACACATTATGCAGTTATTATTTTTCATATAACCTGTATATGTTCTGCGGAATCTGCATTAAACTGTATCTTCCAAACTACTGAACGGATCTGGGTGAATTTTGAATATGTGGTTACCCCTGGATCCCCTGGTTCCCAGGATATTTTTATGGGCATGTTTTGGGCTCCCTGTGATATGTTTTATAATACTGTATTTCTCTGCCTGTGATAATTATATTAACCATTGTGTTCAGTAATCATATCACAGGCAGTGGGGAGGATTTTGTATGGGAGTGTCTGTGTGTATTGTACGGATTGATTGGTTGTATTTCAAAACCCTGTGGGCAGTACTATGTTTGTGGATTGTGAATAAAAGAGGCTGTATGTGCCAGTATCTGCTTGACCTCAAAACGAAGTGTCGTCTCGTTATTGGGGGAATTGGATTGTATGCTGATTGCTAGGAGTGTAAGCTGAATGTATGCTTTTCCTGTTCAGCTGCTTACAGCATTCATATGCTTGAGAGGATTCGTATGCTTCTCCAGTTTGGTGGTTGTGGTGTCTGCTGCAGTGCTTGGAGTCCTCAGGAAGCGCTAGGAGCATCCATCAACGGAGGTACCCAGTCGGGGTGCCAGGTGATCCGTTACATCAGCAAACCTCAATGACCTGAAGCAATGTTGTGAAGAAGAATGGGCAAACATTTGTCTGCAACAATGTGAGAAACAGACAAAGTCATTCAGAAAATGATTACTTCATGTTATTGCTGCTAAAGATGGTTCTACAAGCTATTGAATCATAAGATGTACTTAGTTTTTCACACATGGCTTCTCCACTTAGGTTTTATTTTTTGCTTAAAAAATCATGACACAGTATATGTCAGGTGTTGTTGTTCATCTGAGGTTGTATTTACGCAATTTTAAGATCTGCTAAGGAACATATGATTTTTAATATGTCCTAATATGTAAAAAAACATTTTTAACAAAAAATAGAATTCACATAGGGTTTATTTTTCTTTTGCCATGACTCCATCACTCCATCCATCACGGATTCCGTTATGTTTTGCAGTCATAAATTGGATTGACATGATTGGTTGTCCACTTTTTCTACTGTGTCTTGCAATTAAGAATATTACTTGTTTAAAATGCCTTAATCAGTGCTTAATGAGGTGTAGGCTTCTTCTTTTGGTTCTGTCCTCCAATGTTTTGTCCAGCAATGTGGTCTATGAGCCCTCAATCTGAAATATTTCCCAAAAGACTATAAGCCTCTCCTTGAAATAGATAACTTCAATTTCTTTTTTGGTTGAAGATGAGGCCTCAAGGGGTTTCAGCCTAAACTACGTTATCAGCCACAAATCAATCTCTACTGGATACCAATGGTTCCAAACCTGTCCCTTAATAAGCTTTGACCAAAAACATTTAAACTAGATTGCATTTAGTGCATGCTACAATATATCAAAAGTTGCTTTTCCCTTTAAAGGAAAACTCTAAGGTTAAAAATAAATATAAAGTCACGATAGTCTGCTCTCTACCACTGTTCATCTTTTATTAAGTCAGTCTAATCCAGTGCATGTCATAGAAGCATTCTCTTGGCGTTCCACCAGTCCAATGCTTGTCATAGAGAATTTATTTAAATAATTATCTATCAATTATAATAAGCACTGTATGTGTCCATTGTCATGCTGTACATGATGACGCTAAACATGAAGGCCTTTCATTTTTGAAGTTCTTAACAAAGAAATATCTCTAGTGGCTCTCAGTCTAACATCCACTAGAGATGTTTTCCTGACAAAGGTAAACATGATGCTTTTCAAAAACACTACCAAAGAAATAGGACAGCAAAACTATCATATTAAGATTTAGTTCTTGTGGTGCTTAGAGTGTCTCTTTAAGGGTTTGCAGATGCCCTGGCCTACCAACTGTTACATAATGACACAGTTTTATAGTATGAAATAAAGTCCATCAAGTCAGGTGCGTACCTGGAGCATTTGGCACCCGGGGCGGATCTTATATATTTAGCATTGAGCAGTGTTTGCATTTTTTTTTAATGTATTTAGCACTGAGCCGTGTTTGTGTGTTTGAATGTAAGCATGAAGTATGTGTGAGTGAATGTAGTGGTGAGCTGGAATATGATGTCATATTCCAGCTCCCAGCATCAGTAGACAGCCCGCGCGGGGAGACAGCCGCCCGCCGCACTGAAGCCCCACTGGACCCCAGGGACAGGTTCATGCCAGCTCTTCAGGTAGGGAGGCTGGGTGGACATTTTTAGATTTAAAAAAATTATCATTTGTGAGTGTGTGTGTCTGTGAGTGTGTGTGTGTGTTTCTGTGAGTATGTGTGTGTATGTATCTGTGTGTCTGTGAGTGTATGTGTGTGTGTCTGAATATGTGTGTGTGTTCCCCTTTATTCCCCAGGACTTGACCCCTGATTTTTGTTTTGTTTTTACTCTTTTTGTATACTTGATATATGTGTGTGTGTGTGTGTGTATGTACCTCCCTATACAATTTGTCTTATATGTATTCGTTATAAAAGTATTGCATATATTGATGTAAAAATATAAAACCTTTATTAAAAAATATTTCTTGCATTTAGGTGACATCCTCTTTGGGTTCAATGAGTAGTACTCTTTTATTTATTTTATTTTTATTTTTTTCAATTGGTTCAATCTATAACATTTTTAAACTTTTTTGCAGAGTTGTTCAATATTTTGTACACGTATTATCCTGTGGGCATAGGAGTGATTAATAGATCCTCTGACTGGATGTTTTGCAATATTAGGCAATAAAGAAGTAACCTGAGAGAGGACCAACGTTTCAGCTAGGTCATTCCAAAAAGGGGTTATACATTTATCATGAGTTTAATGTCTGTATCTAAAACTATAACAAATGTTTAATTCTTGTGCACATTCTAAAGTGCAAGAAAGGTATTAACTCAGAAAGACAAGTGCAGCAACTTTGCTGCACTTTCAATATATCTTTGTAAGTGGACTTGAAGTCCAACACTGTTTCCATTTTCTTTTAGATCCCAACTGGAAGTATCATATTGCCAGGCAGGTTCATTTTCTGTGGTGTTACGAATTATGTGAGAGATCTGCAATATCACTTACACAGAGACAGAGGAAGAGCAACTGTTGTAGAGAATAGAATAATCCTTCATTGAAATCTGTGGAACTCAGTTATCTGTACGATTTATACATTCAATCTTCAAAGGTCACTAGTGATTACTATTGTAATGTATACTCTAAAAATAGGCGCTATGATCATTTGTCTTGGCTTATTTTTATTGTATCTATTTCTTTTTTTAACAGACACATCTATCAGTGTTGCCGCAGCCAAATTCTCAGTAGAAAACTGCACAACTCTCAGGTAAAATCATTCAACTAGGTTATAACTAGTGGTTAAGGACTTTTTAAATTGAAAAGAAATTAATACATAAACTACTGAGTACTATTATATAAATTCAAAACATTGAAAGAGATTTTAGTATTTAGATTACTAAATGAAACAAAAACTCCAAATGTTATTAGGGGCAGTTAATCAAAACCCAGTATAGGCCACATACCTTAATGTTTAAGAACCAATTGCCAAATCATTTTATACATGTGGCAAATGAAGCTTTTAAAGTTTTTGATAAATGTTTTATTTAAAAAAATGCAACTTTGAAGACCTTGAAGCGTCCTTTTTCAAATTGCAGATACAGGAAGCACAACAATTATAAATTCCTGTTTCTCATCATTTAAAATAATATTTATAAGAATTTTCAATTCTCATATATACTAACAGTGAATCTGTTTGAAATTCAGTTATTTCAAGCGAATAAGCACATCTCATTCAGTATTATCTTGTGCCCACTTGCTTTTTTTTTTTTTTTTAAAAGGACCACTATAGGCACTTCAGCTTAATGAAGTGGTCTGGGTGCCAGGTCCAGCTAGGGTTAACCCTTTTTTCTATAAACATAGCAGTTTCAGAGAAGCTGCTATGTTTACCTATGGGTTAATCCAGCCTCTAGTGGCTGTCTCATTGACAGCCGCTAGAGGCACTTGCGTGCTTCTCACTGTGATTTTCACAGTGAGAAGACGCCAGCGTCCATAGGAAATCATTGTGATTGCTTTCCTATGAGACTGGCTGAATGCGCGTGCGGCTCTTGCCGCGCATGCGCATTCAGCCAAGGAGGAGGAGAAGAGGCAGAGATGAGGAGGAGAGATCCCCGCCCGGCGCTGGAGAATGAGGTAAGTTTAACCCCTTCCTCCCCCTAGAGCCCGGCGGGAGGGGGACCCTGAGGGTGGGGGGCACCCTCAGGGCACAATAGTGCCAGGAAAACGAGTATGTTTTTCTGGCACTATAGTGGTCCTTTAAGGTTCTTTATATTTACATTTCAGTAAACACAGAAAGGTGATCAAAATAAATCATTGATAATGTAGAACCAACATTGGTACAAAAAGAATAGCCAATTTATGTGATAGGTATAAAATTTGTCTTAATACAGAGTCAAGACTGGATGAACAATCCTAAATATAGGAGTGTTGCTTGGCCCACTAGACAGGGGTCCTTTAAGGTCCCTGGCCATGGGCTGATGTCGTTGTAAGTGTGCTTAGACTCATCCTTGTTAATTGTGGTGTTGTCGGGTAGCTGCGGTAGTGTTAATGGGTTGCTAAGGCATCAAGGGTAAATTTGGGGATACTATTCATATTTGCTCAGAGAATCGACCCATTGTACCACTGGTCAGTGTCTGCTTTAAAATCAGCAATTCTCATATGAAAATTCTATATAAAATATAGAAATCACATAGTTATCAAACACCAGATTCGTTAATATGGATTAATTTTTTGCAGGCACACCTACAATAATCTGAAATAAATGCTGGCAATGCAAGCAGACCGCTACAAAAGTATTAAAGGGTCACTCCAAGCTGAATTTTTTTTTTATTTTCTAATAGATAAAGCATTTTTAATGTGCAATAAAAATGAAATGAAATTAAAAAGTGTTCGCCTTTTCAGTTTCTGCATCTCCTGCTAATTCATAGGCAAGCAGAACCTACAGAGTCCCTTACAGAAGAGAGAGATTCTCCACCAATCAGGATCCTCTCACTATAAGGAAATATATACAGCAATCCAGACAATTTAGGGAACCATGGCTCTGAGGGCAGATCTGCTGATGAACGCAGCCACAATGCAATAATACAAGGGATTCCAGACTCCATCTTGTCACATGAATTGCCACATTATTAAAAAAACCTTGCAGCCTCTCTTCTACCTGCCACTCAGGCAAAGAAAATAGTGTATGAGAGTCATTAGTGAATCAATAAATCTCCAAAAGTTCCCACGGCAGCTTCCCGCATCGTCATTCTGTCAGTCCATTGTCAATCGCACCTCAACAGAGGGCATCAAATGTCTGTGTTGCAGGGAAAAACACCTTATACCTTAGAAACTTGGAATCTCACCTGTTTTCAAGACCAACACAGATCCACGCTACAGTGGAGGAGATCTTTAGGCCCAGTTACGTATCAACTCCCGGAAGCTGCTATGGCATACAGGTGATCAGCATCACAGTCCTTGACGATTGACAGAGATAGTGCCATCCATTGGATGTCCTCTCCATCTGAGGCCACAGCCTTCCTCCAGTCTGGGCCTCCACACCTGGCCACTACACTTCTGCCATGCATGGGTGGGATCTAGGGAGATTAACCTCATTTGTCCCAAGGGAAGCAACAGGACGAAATTCAGTGACAAGAGCACAGTCACAACTTATTCTAAGTTTCTTTTTTGTGTGTGTTGTCCACTCTTTCTACATATGCAAGCATATATGGCACTTATATTACCCTTTGGAGCGCATTGAGCTCTGACACATATTCTCCTCCTCCTTTTGCCTGGGTTCCCGTAGGTTAAGAGTTATATATTCCAGTTGAGCCACCTATTCATAAGCTTTGGTATTTTATTACATAAGTTTATTTCTCTTACACTTACAAATCATAATGTAAAGTTAGTAGGATCATAGAACTGGTGCTCACTGCCACACTAGACCTGCTTGGTGTTTTATTTAAATTTATTAGTTCTTAATAGTCTTGTGCTTTATTTTCTTCACTTTTTACTTTTCCTTTATTTGAAAGATGCTCTAGTGATTTACTAGGTTTTTATTTAACTTAAAATAGACCTGTTTAATAGCTAGGTGACTATGCACACATTGTTATCTCACACTACTGCAGTGTTTTTAAATGATCGTTTGTATACTAGTTTTGGTAAATTCATGACTTGTTTTAAAGTATTTGTATCTTCTCTAACCATAACGGTGTGATGATGTAACTATTACAAAATGTCTGTAACAATTGTGCCTGAATAAAAAGTGACTAAAAAAAAGTAAAGACCAGCAAAGTGGTAACTCTCCAAAGCACAGATCCATCTGACATGACGAATATCGAAAATGTTACCATTTCCCCATTTTTTTTTATTTTTACTTATTTTATAATTATTTTATTTCTTATTTAATTAGTATTAGATAATCTTTGGGGGGGGGGGGGTTGTTTTGTTTTTTTAAATGTGACAGACCCAGATAAATAATAGGGGAGAACAAAAGTGTAATGCGTTTCCAGCTGAACATCCTTAGACCAAAGCAAACATTCAGTTCTTTTCACTTCAAGGGTCAGCTACGATAAACAAACACAAGCAAAGCATAGTAGTATTGGAAATGTTACACATTGGATGGGCCTCTTGCTGGTAAATGTCAGCAATGCTTTTCCTTTAATAAACAATAACAGCTGCAGTCCTATACAATATCATAAATTCATATTATATCGTAATTGTGGCAGAGTCTCATGTTGTTCTTCAAAACTATCGTTTTTAAGGGTTAATTATTCCAAACTAGCTGACAGACTTGTCATTTCTGTTAATTACTCCCTATTCGTCCAAACAAGTCTGTACATTCTCCTGAGGTGAATGTTTTATGTGTTTCTGTAATGGGATGTGCAGCTTCTGAGAATCTGTATAATGCCATTGTAAAATCTCATCGAGCCATTGATTCTCAGATCCTCCTTTTTAAGTGTTTTTCTTGTTTGTTGTCGTCTGGATTTTTTTTTTCTTCAGGCTCCTTTCATTATAATAGTGCTGTGGGAGCAATATTCCACTAAACAAAAGAAACAAGGAGCTGGAAAGAGTTCTACATGTAATTCTTTCATTAAAAAAAAACAGAAACCAGTGGTATTAAACCTGCTTGGTAATAAAGCCTTCATTGAAGATGATAAGATGCAGCCTGCTGAGATGGTGCAGACACCACTCATAAACCGCAGACCGAACGCAACCTCCCCCCCTGACACCCCCTTGGTTAGGGGCACATGTAGAAGACAGCCCGCCATCACTACCCCGAATGGGGTACACACCTACATATATATGCTAACGACTGATCTCCCTAAGCTAACCATACCCACTTGACAGAATACCAATGCATTCGGACCGGTTACGGGGACACATACAACAACCCAGACAGACACATTCGCCTGTAATGCATGTTTATGTACTCCCCAACCATCTTTTTATCTTCTGTATCCCAAAATGTGTTGATATGAAAAAAAATTCAATAAAAAGAGATTGACAAAAAAAATTAAAAAATTGGTGAAGGTAGAAAAAAGAGAGAGAGAGAATCTTTAAAAATTAATTAAAAAGCATATTAATAATAAAAAAGCTTTGTTACACAAAATACTATATAAAATACACACACATATATATATTTAATAATAATATACATGTCTATATATACATTTATATAAAACATAGGTAATTGATAAGACATAGGTAATTAATATAAGACTGAAGATAAATGTGTCGGAGGAGGAATCAGATGTAAAAATTTTATTATTTTAAAATTAATGTTACGTCCTTTAGGGGCTAAAGTGCGTAGTTCAAAAACCCACTTTACCTCCTGGGTACTTTGGTATATCTCCTCCTCTCCAACGTACATTTACCTTCTAAAGTGCACAAATGTTTTTTTCAGCAGGCTCCTTTCATTATAATGGTGCTGTGGGAGCAATATTCCACTAGACAAAAGAAACAAGGAGCTGGAAAAAGTTCTACATGTAATTCTTTCATAAAAAAACAGAAACCAGTGGTATTAAACTTGCATGGTAATAAAGCCTTCATTGAAGATGAAACAGTTTTTTTTTCCCTTAAGATTGCATTGTTTCCTTTTATTTTTAAAAGTAACTAACATAACAAAACAAAATAGGTTCATATCTCTTTATGTGATTAGATAGATTAATTATATATCCGTTGGGCATATGCTCCTGTCCTTAGTGCATCAAAGCAAGAATGTCTATCCTCATTTATCAAGGTTTGTGTATATGAGTTTGTGTATGTGTTTTAAGCAAAATGTGTTTGCTTTTAAGTAAAGAGCAATCCATGAGAGCTGAGAGTGATATATACAGTATATGCTTTCTAGTTTATCTATTTATTGATAACTGCAGACATAATGAAATTGTTTTATCCCAGGTGAGCTACCATCAGCTATCTGTTTTGTTATGTCTTGTTCGCCTTACTTAGATTGCTCGTAGATCAGCTCTTTCAACAATTCCTAATCTACACTGTAGATGTTCACCCTTGACATAATTCGAAGTTACAATGATTTATGATTCACTTTTTTTTCATGCCTAACGAAAGAGCTGCACGGTATAGGTCAAGGTAGAATTTCATACTTAAGTTAGGAGTTTATTGCTTGATGTTGTCCAAAAGCTTAGTCAAAGAGATGGGTCTCATGTGTCTATTGTTTTTGAGAATTCTTTACTTATATACAGTGGTGGCTGGTGAAGTTTTAAGATGGTGGGGTGCCAAATTCCTCTCCCAGAATTTTACTCCTCCCTATACAGTACAGAGATACTCATATAATACAGAGATTATCGTACAATAAAACAAGCTGGGAACAAGATAAAGTGAAATACAGAAACATAACACACAGAGCTCAGCACAATAAGGAGATTCGCATAACTACCTATACAGCCAGGATCACTGGGCTATACACCCTACACCACAATGGGCCACCCAGTGGGTATTATTAGTGAACAGAGGCCCGTTCGGATTCTGCAGTTCTTGAAGAGCACAAATGGGCCCCTGTAGTATCGGCCTGCTGGGAGGAAGTGACAGCTGGTCACTTCCTCCCAGATTCATACAGGGAGCACCAGGCAGAAGGGAGGAGTCAGTGGCGGCACAGAAAGGCAGGAGTGAGCTGCTGCAGATCCTCACACTTGCTCCCATCAGCCTTAGCTAGCAGCAGCAGAACCCCAAGCAAGTCTCCATCCTGGACACACAAGGTATGCTAACAGGAGAGTGGCTGCAAATATAAATATGATAACATGTATTTGTGTATTTCTTTATATATGTCAGATTGTGTATAAGTATGTATTATCAAGGTGTGTATGACTGTGTCAAGGGCTCGCTCTGTGTGTGGAAAGTAGCATGGATAGGAAGTTACATAATTTTCCTGCCTTTCTAGTGACTGAATAATTGGGGGAGCAGCACAGCAAGGTCAGCCAGCAGCTTCCAGGCTGCAGTTGGACTGTATATCGGGTAAGTGAGGGTTGGGGGGAATAAGTGGGAGGAAAGACTGCAAAGAGAGACACATATTCTGGGTTTACACAGGAGTAGAGACCCTGATGGGGTTTTAAGAGGAGAAGAATGGAGGAGTGCATTAACTGTGGAGACCTAAAATAAGACGAGTTGAACAATGACATCCTTTAAAATACATTGCTGAATTAAAAGAACACTCAGTTAATTTCTTTTCACTATGTAGTATAAACCTCCACAGAAAAAGCTTTCCAGTGCTTCTTAATAAGCTTTCCTACTGCTTATTGAGAAGAGGGAAGGCAGGCATGCGCTATCATGCTAATGGAAGTGGAAGAAAACTTCCCAGCTGCATTGGTGTACACTTG